TGTTTGTTTTTGAAGCTTTAAGAAGAAGCTCTGAACTCTAATTCACAATGTAATGCCAGCTGCAAACTTGTTGACTTTTTCTCATCTGACACGATGAAACAAAAGCTCACTTTCTTAATATGTAATGTTGCTAAATGTGAAAAAGTTCAAACAGTGTGAAAACTTTTGCAAGACACAGATAAACACCACAGTAACAACTCATTGTGGTTATTTGTCAATTTTGTCGAGAGCCAAAAATCCACAGCAAGAAACAGAGCTGGAGGAGGAAGACCTTTCTTAGCTTCCTTTACTGCGGCTTTAATGTGACATTTATCTGTCGTTCTTGCCCTTCATTACTTGGCTCAGTAAAGGTCAGGCTCATGCATGCAGCCCTTCTCAGGTGTTTAGGCCCCCTACTACATTTTAACATGTGCTGCCCAGGAGTGCATACCGAAATAACTTCATTACACGTGCTTACGTGCTGACTAGAGATTTTTGACTTAAAACAGGTGCTTGGATTCCCGTGACTCTTTGCTCTTCCTCGCGACTCTGCGACCTCAGCTTCCAGATGAAACACAAAACTTGCTCAGCATCACCAAGCAACGGTCCAGACCTTTTTCTTTTTACTTAGCCCTGTTTAGATTTTGTCTCTGGTTTTGAACTGGCTTGATACATGTGAAATGTGACCGTTTTAAACAATGTCCTGGATTCATCGGAGTGGGATAGCGCTTTTGAAGCACTGAATCTAACTGCAGTAAATGCATTGTAAATCTCAATCTCTTGAATAGGCTTTGCTTTGGTTTCTCCCGAAGGTTCCAGTTTTTCCCAATCGTCTGTGTACCTTTTTAACCATACTTTGTCAGTCTACTCAACTTGAACACAGCACTTTGCGAACTCCACCTTCTTCAGCCTAGAACTTTAGATGATCCATCTTGTGGAGGGAGTATGACTGTCTGCTGGACACTATGTACAGAAAATAACGCCATCATTATTAACTCTAATATTTATTATTATATTTTATGAGAAACAAATTTTGGGCTTTTGTTATCAGAGGACTCACCTACAACAAGGTCCTAATGACGAATAATAGCCTAAAATTATATTTTATAATACCTGTAAATCCTGTAATTTACAATATAAAATACAATTTGATCATATTAATTACTAATCCAGGTTTTTATCAATTTGAGCAACATAAAGTACTTGTAATATTCTTTTAGCTCTATGTTGGCATTAGGTTACAATCTGTTATATTTTTAAACCTACAAATAGAAAATAGTGGTTCAACAAATGACTACAGGTTTCCTACGATCATTTTTTTCTTATCTCCTAAAAGCTGCAGATCCCTGACCTTAATCGACAGAAATAATCTGACTGAATAAATATTATCGTGTTTTGTTTTTTGTTTTTTGTTTTTTCAACTTTTTGAACTGAATTAGTGAAAAATAATTAACCTAAGACGTTATGATTCACTGAGATGCACCTTTGAAAAATGAAGGACAGGGGCTTTTCAACACTAGTTTTCAGGATGGCTTTGTGATGGTGGTGAAGGAGGTGGAGGGAGTGTTGATGGAGGCTGAACTTCCTGTCTGTCTTTTTTGTATCAGTGCATTGAGAAATAAGTGAGCGCGGTGAAAGGAGCGTATTCATTCAGGAGGGACCTTGACTGGCGCAGGCAAAGCCTGGAGAAGGAGTGATTCAGAAGCATCGCTGAGCGACGAGCACAGAAAAGCAATCAGAGGAAAACGAGGGTGCATAACAGCAATACCTAGTGAACGTAAAAAACACGGATTTTTTTTTTTTTTTTTTTTTTTTTTTTTTAAAAGAAAAAAATTTTTAAAATCCCCCCCAAACCCTGGGGCGTCCCCCCCCCCCTTCAACC